GTGCCGCCCTGGTCTTGCTCTTGCCTTGGTTTGTACTTATTTGACTGGTCTTTAGGCTCTTGCCTCAGAGGTTGGACTAGTAATGCCACCCTGAGCTGCTTGTATCTGAACAGACACTGCCCTTATCCAGTCTAGGGGGTGTGTCAAACACATTTGTGTGTGATATTATAGACCATATAGGTCTTAGAAATTGAATAATGACTAGAAAGAGAGAGTACAGGGAGATGTAGCCTAGAGTGTTGTACCCTCTACAGCACAAACCAATATTGTCTACACAAACAAACTTACAGTATCGGAAACAATTGTCCGAATTTTTTGCATTAATTTTTTGTCAGCGTACACGACTCGGGCAGAGCTAGGCCGCTCACCTAATTCGGCAAGCAAGAAGGTCAGCCAGCGGAGCTCCTGTGCCGCCATGGCACCGGCGTAGATCTCAGCCTCACAGCTGGACTGGGCAACAGACGAGGAGCGAGTAGCTCTCCACGAGACGGCACCTCAACCAAGGCTAAAGCAGTAGCCCTGCGAGGACCCAAGGGTCTCAGCGTCGTCTGCCCATGAAGCATCTGTGTGCCCAGTAAGGACCACTGGCCTGCGCCCTCCTAGCACTAACCCCATGCCTGATGTACTTGCAAGATAACGCAAAACCCTCTTAGCAGCAGACCAGTGCTGAGGTCGGTATCTGCCTGTGGCCACAAAGCGAGCCAAGATTCTGAGAGGGTATGCGAGATCTGGGCGAGTGCAAGTCATCAGGTACATGAGGCAACCCACCAGCTCTGCATAAGGACCACTGGGCTCTATTGACTCCTCAAGAACTGCAGCAGAGAGCCTGTGGTCGACAGGCACAGGGGTGGGCTGTGCGGAGGAGAACTGTAGGCCGAACCTCTAAAGGACCTGGCGCACCAAGTGTGACTGAATGAGGGTGATGGTGCGCGCTGCTCTGTCCCTGGAGATTTGCAAGCCAAGGTAACGGCGCAGCTCTCCTAGGTCAGTGCAGGTTTGTCTCTTCAGCAGCTCTCCCTTCACCAAGGCCTGTGCGTCCCTGTCAGCAGTGACGAAGACCAGGTCCTCTACGTAAACAAGGATGTAGAACGGGGTCTGGCCAGCACGAACGAAGAGCGAGGGGTCTGCAGAGGACGGAAAGAACTGCAGGTTAGCAAGGGTAGCACGCAGCGTGTCGTGCCACTCACGGGGAGCCTGCCGTAGACCATAGACGGGGCGCCGCAGGACCCACTGAGTCCCAGGAGGAAAGGTACCAGTGAAACCCTGAGGGCGGCGCAGGTAGACCTGCTCGTGTAGACTGCCCTGAAGGAAGGCAGTGGAGAAGTCGAGGGAGTGAAGCTCGTAGTCACGATGAGCTGCTACGTGCAGTAGCACCCGGAGAGTAGTCATCTTCGGGGTCGGGGCGAAGGTCTGAAAGAAGTCCACCCCCTCATGCTGACTGAAGCCTCTAGCCACGTAGCGTGCCTTGAACACAGGCAGCTCTCCAGGAGGGCGCTTCACCTTGAAGAGCCAGCGGCCATCGACTACGTTCACCCCAGGTGGGGGAACTGCGTCGACGTAGGTGCCGGTGGATCTCCAAGATGCCATCTCCTGCTCCATGGCAGCTATTCTCTGAGAGGCCCAAAGTCTCGAGACCGCCTCAGCGTAAGTGCGAGGGGTCGGGATGTCGAAAGCGTCTGGGTCACCCTCAGGGACTAGCAGCATGGAACAGAGATGGGGAGTAGCCTCGGATAGGAAAGCAAGCTCGTACTGGCGGTCCTCCAGGACGTCACTGCCGAGGGCAGGAGCACCCCCGACAGACGGAGGACATGCAGGGTTGGAGACCAGAGCGGTGGCGTAGACAAGGCGGCGTGTAGAGGCAAAGTCAGTTACCGCAGCGACAAGAGCGTCAAGACATGAGACCGGAACAGACGGGTCGGTAACGAGAGAGGCAAGGACCCGAGGAACAAGAGGGCTAGCGGCGCGAAGGAAGTCAGACAGAGGGGGAGGCGCAACAACAAGAGAGGACGGAGGAGGCGACGGTAGGAGGGTAGGACGAGACACGTAGGAATGAAGCAACATAGGGTGAGAGTTCGGGACAGGGGAGACGGGGCGAGCACGGGAGGGACGGCGAGACCAGACGTAAGACGGAGGAGTCGGGTCAGGAGACAGAGGAGGGGACACAGGAGGGGAATGCCGGGGAAGACGAGCCGGAGTCGAGTCCGGGAGAGGGAACACAGGGCCATAGACCGGGAATGGAGGAGACGACAGGCGAGGCGGAGACGCAGGGTCAAGGGACGGAAGGCCGAGCAGGCGAAGGGCGGACAGCGGCGGCCACTGCGGCTGGGGCGGTACGGCTACGACACTGGGACCGTACGCTGCTCCACGGCTACCTCCGGAACACTCCACTCCAACACCCACAGAAGGAACACCCCCAGAGCCCGAAACCCCTCGAGCACCAGTACCACCCCCAGGCCCGCCGAGACTGGCCACGACAGGAGCCCGAGGACTAGTACCCACCCCAACGCCAGCACCCCCAGAGTCAACGAACTTCTGCTGCGACGGCTGCGGCGATGGCTGCGGCGGCGGCGGCTGCAATGACGGCTGCGGCGGCGGCAGCGGCTGAGACAGCGGTGGCGACGGCTGCTGCGGAGGCGGCTGAGGAGGAGGCACCTGAGGAGGGGCAGGCGGCGAGGACTGCGCTGCAGGATCACCAGAGTCAGCAGACTCCTCGACCGGGACAACCGACGTGAGGGGGGTGACGTGGGACACACCAGACGGTGCAAGACGGGGAGGGGGAGGGGGGGGGACAGGGGCGACTGGGGAAGGGGTGACCAGGAACAGGGGGGGAGTAACAGGGGGACCTCTGTAGGGGAAGCGGCGGTAGAAAGAGACAGACTTGTCAAAGGTGACGTCACGATGTGAGAGAAGCGGTGAGACGGCGGGTGGTAGAAGTGCCAGTCAGGCGCATCAAGGGGGAAACTGAGGAAAACACAATATAGGGTGCGGGCATTGAGCTTGTCCGTGCCAGAGGCTCGAACGTGAGCAAGGCAGCCCCAGACGTGGAATGCAGACGCATCACCAGGAGACCCAGACCAAAGAAGGGTCGGCGAAACCGGCGGCTGCTGGGAGTGCGGCCACAGGTTAAGCTGGTGAGCGGCGTAGCGAACTGCGAACGGCCACAGAAAATGGGGTGCACCGGCATGGATCATGGAGGTGCGAGCCACCTCCATGACCAAACCGATGCGTCGCTCAGTGACCCCATTCTACTGCGGGGTGTCCGGCAAGATGAACGTCTGGGTGATGCCGGCTAGGACGGCTAGGACGGGCGCTAGGGGCCGGGGGGAACAGGCGCGCCTAGGGGAATGGGCGGCTAGGACCTAATGCGGAAGCGTTGGGGGGCCGGGGGACCTACCTACTGCTGATACTATCTTAGAACTAAATGATAACTAGAAAGAGAGAGTACAGGGAGATATAGCCTAGTGTGTTGTACCCTCTACAGCACAAACCAATATTGTCTTTACTTAGATATGGTTGACAATATGGTTGTGCCTTAGAGAGCACAGCCCCCTAGGTTATAATTCTTAAAGAAGCTTAGGACACTAACTGAACTTAGGAACCTAGCTTAGCTAGGAAGGAAGGAAGGACGCCATGGAATGGCGTGAGGCAAGTAGATCTAAGAGTAGGCAAAAGTGACGAGAAAGAAGAGAGTTGGACTAGGAAGAGAGAGAGGTACAAGGAGGGGATTGTACCCTCTACAGAAAGGTTCAGTAACACTACCAAGCCTATCAATTATATAACTCAATATAATTTTAACACACCCCCTAGGCTTGGTAGTCACAAGCCCATACACACCCCCACACCCCCTAACCTAGCACCCCCAGTCCCATCAGCCACAATGCTCCCAGCAGGGCCCAAAAGGCCGTGGAGATGGCGACGGCGGCAGTCCCGACCGCGGCGACAGCGACGGCGACGACGGGCGTGCGGCGGCAAACGGCCTGCGGTGACGGCAGCGGCGACGGCGACGGCTTCGGCTTACGGCGGCGGTGAGTGCAGCGGCCCCCGCCCTTCCGGCGGCGTGTCCAACCTCCGCGACAGGGGGACGACTGCCGAGAGTCTGCGGCGACTGTGGATAAGAGGAGGCGACAGGGGAAAGGGGGGACAGTTGGCGTGCGGGCGGTGGCGGCGTCACAGGCGTCGCGCAACCGGCTGCGGCCCGACGGCGCCATCACAGAGCGACGTCGACGCTGCAGTAGGACGTCGACGTCGCGACGGCAGAGGCAGCGTCGATGCCGCAGCGGGACGTCGACGCTGCGACTGCAGAACGACGGCCCGACTCCACGGCAGCGCGTCGAGCCGGTCGCGGCACGACGCGGCCAGTGGCAGCGCGACGTCGCCACTGCAGCAAAACGCGGCCGCCATGGCCGCTCGAGCGAATGAGGGTGAGGAGTAAATGGCGGAAGCGTGAGGAGGCGGTCCAGCAGGGAGGATCTCCTGCTCTGATACCATCTTAAAGAAGCTTAGGACACTAACTGAACTTAGGAACCTAGCTTAGCTAGGAAGGAAGGAAGGACGCCATGGAATGGCGTGAGGCAAGTAGATCTAGGAGTAGGCAAAAGTGACGAGAAAGAAGAGAGTTGGACTAGGAAGAGAGAGTGGTACAAGGAGGGGATTGTACCCTCTACAGAAAGGTTCAGTAACACTACCAAGCCTATCAATTATATAACTCAATATAATTTTAACAATAATGCCTTGTACTCTCACATTCTAGTAATTCTTTCAGTTTGTTAACAAATAAAGGTATGTATAAGTTGACAGTACCATCTGCAGTAGGACCCATTGTAGGACACATAACACCTACCAAGCCTACACAAATATATATAAATAATACAGATGTCAGCCGGAGCTCTCATGTCCCCATTCCGGAGTTTGCCAGACTGCCGTCTGCCTGCAGAATTGTGCCGGAGATGTGATAGAGCGTGTGAGGAGGACACTTATTTGAAGGTTCATCACTGGAACATGTGCTAGGGCGGGATTTGTTCTTATCCAACAACTTTCGCGAAGAAACAGATTCATGTTTTTTCCCATTCCACCAAGCAAGCACTAACAGATCTTGGAAAGGAAGAGAGAAAGAAACAAAACAGCCATCCATCCATCTACAACATTACATCCAAGCATGGTTGTCGCACATCATCTAGCATATGGTAGCAGGTCACTCTTTGAGCCTGCCCTGTCCTTCTCACGGGCCCTGCATCACTTATTCACACAAAGCATTATCTTCTCCACATCCAGTCCCTTCAGAGAACCCTGTACCATCATCATTCATCACCCTCCACGAGAGGGCCACACTCCACCATTTCTTACGCCCCTCCTCGTCCTTGTAACGACTGCCCAATCCCTTTGGCACCACCCCTCCTCACACCCGCCCCTTGCGTCTCTGCCTGGCTGCTTTTGCCCCAGCCGCTGTCTTGGCCGGCTGGGACGCAGTAAACCTTGCCTGCCGGTCTCCCCCTGCTGCTGATGCGCACGGCGCCACGCCACCAGCAGCAGCCCCTTCAGAACTGGCTCCGGTGCTTCCCCCACTGCTGGGAGCAGGGGAGGCAGAGCAGCTAGCGCCTTGCCCACCAGGTAATGCTGCTGCCTGGGCTGCCACTGCCATTGCCACTGTCGCTGCTGCACTCGCCGTTTGCACGGGGCGTGCTGCGGCGGGTGGTGCAGCGGCGAGTGGGCGAGCCAGTGGAGGGAGAGGTAGGCGAGGGAGAGGCCAGCGGAGCAGGCCCAGGGGGGGAGGTGCTGCGGCTGCTGAGGCGGCAGCAGCACCCAGAGGAAGAGCGCCCATTGGAAGAAGAGGGTGAGGAGCAAGGCAGTGGTCGGGCTGAGATGGCGGTGAGGACGTAGCAGGGACTCCGACGGCAGGGAGTCTGCGCACACAGGGGAAACGGCGGAGAAGGGAGAGAGAAGAGGGGAGGGATGAGAAAACGCGAGAGATAGAAAGCAAGTGGCATGGGAAAGCACTGAGGGTGGAAAGCCAGAAGGGGAACAAGCGGGCTAATGCAGGGGCTTAAGACGCATACCGCTTTCAAGCACTGCAGGCTCTGCTGCATCAGCACGCACACCTCCTCCGGACACACTCCCTCCCCCCTGCTTCCCCTCCTCCACCTCTTCCTCCCCCCTCTTATCTTCGCTGGAAGCGCCACCGGCCGCCCCACCAACACTCCCCACCGCACCAGCAACTCCAGCCACCCCAGCCACCCCCATGGCACCCATGGCTCCAGCGGTGCTTGCTCCTGCGGCCCACACCTGGTGCAGGCGAGCAAGCTCGTCTCTTAACGCGCCGTTCTCGTACGCGGTCACGGCCACCACCTGCCGCAGCTGTCCTATGGTGGCCTGTAGCGCGGCGCACCTCCCCTCCAGCTCCGACACATAGCTCTTTCGCCGCTGCCGCGACTGCAGCGCCGATTGCCTGTTGCGCATCAACCGCTTCCGCCTGCGTTCCTGCTCCTCATCCTCCCAGCTGCCCTCTTCCCCTTCCGCCTCGCCGACACCTTCCCCCTCGGTTCCCCCGCCCGCTGTGCTCGCAGCTCCGGCTGGTCCGCCGGGGACGCTGCTAGCTGCGGGCATTGGGGTCAGGCACATGGCGGAAGGCGCGGTTGTGTGGGGAGGAGCTACACCTACGGCGGCAGCATGATGGGCGGCTGGAAGCGTCGCCACGGTTGTAGCAGCAGGCGGCGGAGACACACGAGATGGCGCTGCAGGCGGGCGCCGGATGGGAGCGGGTGGAGCAGCGGCAGCAGCAAGAGCGGGATGGGGCGCGGGTGGTAGAAGAATAGGGGCGGACTGAAGCAACTGCCTCTCATGCAGTGGCTGCGCCTGAGGCAGTGCCTGCAGCTCGGGTTGGGGTGGTGAGTGCGGTGGTGCTTCGGACCGTGGCTGCGACTGGGACAGCACGTTCCGCTGATGCGCACCTGGTAAAGCAACCCGATGCGTACCACTCAATTCCGCAGACGCCAAAGTCGCAGCCGCCTCTGCGCGCACAACACGCGTGCCAGCATCTCTGCCGTCCGCATTCCCAGGCGGCTCCATCGCTGTTCTTGTGTGTCCCCCGCTTGCTGCTGCTGGCCCAGTCCCAGCAGCAGCCCCCCCGCAGCGCACCTCCGTCGCTACCTCCCCCGCGCCTTCCGCCTTCTTGTTCCGCACGAGCTCTTCCGCGCCTTTGCGCGCAGATCCACCTCTGGCACCGGCGGCGTGCGCATTCAAGCAGCGCCTGAGGGCGCTGACAAGCGCGCCATCCGCACGGCTGCTCCTGCTTGTGCTCGCGCTTCCCCCGCTGCTACTGCTCAATCCGCCGCCGCCGCCGCTGCTGCTGCTACTCCTGCTGCCCCTGGCGCGGGGCGACAACGCGGTAGTAGCACGGTCTGCTTCACCGGAGATGGGAAGCTCTCGCTGCTGCTGTAGCTGCTGTGGCTGCTGATGTGGCTGCTGATGTGGCTGCTGTACGCTCGACGGCTCCCGCTGCCTCTTCCTCGTCGCCGCGCCTCCGCCCTCCCCCGCACGCGCAACTTCGTCCGCTCCACCGACGAGCGCTCCAGAAGCCGGTGCAGCCGACTGCGGCGTCCACCACACGCCGCGGGAAGGGTTTGGAACAGCGTAAGCATCGTCATCGGCGGTCGCCGCCGCCGTTGCCATCACGTCCACGTCGACTGGGTGCGGGCCCTTGGCCTCGGGAACGAGTGGCGGAGCGCTGGCAGGCGGCGGATCCGTCACTCCTTGAATCCAGTCCATCGAATTGTTGCTGGTGAGCGCGAGTCCCGGTGCGTGCACCTGGTTTACCGCCACCTCCGGTTGGCACGGTTGCGTGGGAGACGGAAGAATGTCCTCAAGCCAATCGCAGCCGCCCTCGGTTGCACCGCAGCGTTGCTCGCCGGCGGCGTCGGCGCTTTCGACGAGGATATACGCGCCCGTTTCCGCCGCAGCGGCAGCGGCATTCGTCACGAGGTCGGTCGACCCGGGAGCCGCTTGAAACGGGGCGTTGTGAGAGCCGGACGCATCCACTGGGACGCTCGGCAGCCCGTCGAGGAATTGCGAGAGCGCCGCAGAATGGTCGTCAAGGTGCATCCACGTGGTATCCGTGCGCATCCACGCGTCGTCGCAGTCGTAAAACAGATCGCCGTTCCCGCCGCCGCCGCCGCCGCCCTGGTATTCCTGCTGCCGCGCGGCCCCCGGATGCGGCGTGAAGTCGGCTTGCGCGGTCACCAGCGCTGGCGCAGGCAGCGTGGAGGCTCGGGAAAACGACATGCCGTCGACGCACGTGCGGAAATTGCTGTGGCAATCCTTCCGGTAGTATCCATCGCCAAAATCTACTCCGTCACCGGCGCCGGAGCTTGCGTCGTGCTCCCAGGCTACCTCGGGAAGGTTGCCGCCGGAAACATCGGACGACGAGACGGAGCGGGTGACGAGCAGAGCGGGTGGCGCGGTCATGGAGGGCCCGCCGCCGCCTCGCGCTCGCGCGGAACGGAGAGGGAGGCTCGGAACCTGATTACGAGGGGAGAGACCGAGACGGTAATACGACGATCGGGAGAACAAGTCTATGGGTCGGAGAACAAGCTAAGGATCGTGATGAGGGTCAGGTGACGGGTGGCGGCCGATCGTGGAGCAGCATTGCTTTGGAGATGCGGAGGGAACGCTGAGACGAGGGCTAGGGGTGGTGAGATCTTATGACTGAGAGCCTGGACAGAAAAGAGTATTTATACACCAGGCGGGAGGCGCGAGAAAGCTGAGCTAACGAGCGCGCGTTGTTGCCTAGGGACTAGGTGGCGATCGATGGAAGCAAGCTGTTCAACTGATGTGTGGAGGGGAGGTGCATGCCATTGGGGTTTGTTCCATATGCCAGTACTTAGCTCGAGAGGCTGGCTTTCAAAGGAACAAGAATCGCCCGACAGCCACGCAGGCGGGCAGGCAGGCAGTGGCACTCGCTGGACTCGCGCGACTCCGCTCGCACGGCTGGAGAGGATGACGCTGAAACAGGAGGGATGGAGGGACCTTCGCGGACCGTCGCGGAAAGGGGGAAAGTGAACCCACCTGCACACGCGACTTGGGAGGTGCATTCACCAATCGCAGGTCTCGACTCGAGAGAACCCCCTCGCATGCATCGGGTGAATCGGGATTCGCGGGAGAATTCATTTCCCCGCCACAGTGCCAGCGCTGGCAAAGCAATTCTTGTCAGCAGCAACACCTGCGCGGGGCTCGTTCGCGCATCTGGGATGGGGAGTCTCCCTCGCGCAAGGTCTCGCGGCAGAGGCAGGGGTGAGGGTGTTCCCCCCTCCCTTCCCCTCCACCCCAGCCCAGCGAACCACCACCCACCACCACTCCCCACAGCACTTGCGATTTGGTAGGGGGAGGTAACGGCCTTGGGCTTGCGAGGAACCTTCCGGAAGGGCAAAAGCGCCATGGCAATCCAGCACGTCATTCCGCCAATCAGAGAGCCTGCTTGTGCTGGCAGGGAAAAAAACTGCGGTAAACCATCATTCCTTGAAACGCAAAAGCCGCATTCACTACACGTCTTACTTATGCATCACAACTTCCTTGTAAACCGGTAGGCTGTGTTTTGCATAGTGAAAGTATACCGACGATCAGTATTAGGGGCCTCGATAACATGTACGATAAGTGACACGATATAAACAATCTAAATTAGCGAGTTTGTAACATGTTTGATCACACGGGTTCCATCGTTAGTCAGAAACTGCAGGAAAAAGGTTTCACGAATGGTCAGTAGAAGTAACCCCCGATCGTCGAGGAACGTTTTCCCACTCGCACTAGCCCAATTTCGTCATCATTGCGGCTTGCGCGATATTTTTCCCGAGCTCAAAGCTCAGTTCGAGCGAAAAACGCAAAATGCACAAATTAAAGTTCATTTGACATTTGTCAGTCGAAAAACACGGAAAAAACGATTTTGTTTCGAAGCACATACTTTTGTCACAGAGGTTAGTGTATCCCGCGATGATTAAAAATGGCGGCTTTTTCTCTACCGCATTTACAACCCCAAAAAAAAGGCAAGCCATAAACTTGTTGTCATTCCCGAGTCGCCCGAAAACTATGTTTATGAATACGTTTAAAAGCGCGTCAAGGTACTCTCAGAACCGCATTTAATTTTGTATAAATTTCAATACAACAAATCTATTAGAAGTCTGACGGTTGTCTTTTCACTTTTCCAACAAATGTATTTACCAGAAACATTTCCGCCGAATCACGACTCTACAAGACTTGCCATGCTCGAAACAAATCAGCACACGCGCAATACCGATTAATATTCAAGCCACATTGGCTTAGCACCGATCCCAAACAGGTTTGCCCTTTCGTATCAAATGTTTTTTTTTCTTTTTTTTTTTCCGTTTGTTAATGTTTCAAAAATGTCGCACCCGATGTGCGGCCCGCTGTTGCCCAATTTGCTTATGTGATATAAATGCTCAAGGTCTCAATGTTGGAATTTTGTGTGTGCAAAGTCTAACGATTTTATATTTGGGAATACTTTACGTAGTTATCTCGAACTGGAGCTTGGGAAAAATATCGCGCCAGCCGCCATGATGATGAAACTGGGCTGGCACGAGCGGGAAAACGTTCCTCGACGGCCGGGGGTTACTTCTACTGACCATTCGTGGAACTTTTTTCCTGCAGTTTCTAACTAACGATAGAACCCGACTGATTAAACATATTACAAACTCGCTAATTCTGATTGTTTATATCGTGTTACTGACCGTACGTGTTATCGAGGCCCCTAATACTGAACGCCAGTATACTTTCCCTTTTGCATAAGTGCAATCACCATAGCTGCTTAAAACAAAATATACCGTGGATTTTAGCTTTATAACCGCTAAGGGTATGTTTATCTCTTCGTGTCACAAGCGTACTATACCTCGCAGAGCATATGTTCATGGTGCAATGTGATTCAGCCAAGTATGTGTGTGACATGATGAGCCTGGTATAGGAACATGATTAACTGGTATTACAAACAGGTGCCATATGTTAAGACTAGAAAGAATGATTAGAAGAAGGGAGAACAGGAGAGATATAGCATTTGGGTTGTACCCACTAAGAACATACCCTATCTAGCCTATACCTTCTACATAGCAAAATATGTTTAAAACGAGAGACTATAATAGTGACACCCCTTTCTAGTTGGGCCCAACTTCTAGTTGGGCCCAACTAGAAACGACCCAACAGTGAGTATGTTTTTGGAGGGGCAGACAGCAGCCCCCGTTTTTTTACCAAGCCGTAGGCCACGAAATCGAATTGCGCTTGCGACATTTCGCACTGGCGACAAATTTTACGACAATAGATTTGCGTGGTTAGCATTTCGACCAATCGGGGCCCAGCCTCAGTTTTGCTGGTGTAGTGAACCCGGGTCCAAGTTGAAATTCAAGTTGGGCCCACTTGGTGCAGCTTACAGGCAGTGGGGGCTGGGCGACAGGTGGCGCGCCGCTTGCGATTTTGCCCGATACATTTTCCCCACCCTACGACATGTTTTCCCCGCCAACCAATCAGGTAACTGCATCTTCTCGCCCTGTTTCCCCTGCTTGCATTTCTCGACTGTGTACCCCCTGCCCCATCGCAGTTTTGTCCCTTAGTCGCAAAAACGGACGTCTGGGCCTTTTCAAGTTGGACCCGCCTTCACTATTTTGACCTCTCGCTTTAAGTTGACACCATGGTCCCGTGGTCCTGTATTTGGGTGTGCTGTATTTGACGCACCCCCTAGGCTAGATAAGGGTGTCTGAATAATGGAATGAACTAGAATGTGAGAGGACAAGAGAATATAGGCTAGTGTTGTACCCTCTTATGCACAAACCTATACTGTTTATAACAACATACTAGGATCTGTTTTGACACACCCCCTAGACTGTTTAGGGGCAATGCCTAACAAATGGACAAGCAGCTCAGGGCGGCACTACTAGTCCAGCCACTGGGAGAGGCCACAAGGCCAGTCAAAACAGTATATATATATAAAAATATATAAATGTTTGTACACAATCAAGGCCCTAGCAAATGAGAGGCTACTTGAACAAGACCAAGCTGTACACAGTGCCGCTGATGATCTTTAGGCGCAAGCGCCTTCGTAAAGATATTAGCCGTGTTGGCACCGGAGGCCAAGTGTACTACGCGGGCCAGGCGGCGCTGCTGTAGCTCGTGCAGGAGGAAGTACCGCAGCTGGATGTGCTTCGCTCTGCCCTCAAGTCGAGGCTCCTAGCACAGGAGGATCATGGCCCTATTGTCAGCATACAGGATCGGGGCAGAGCTAGGCCGCTCACCTAAGTCGGCAAGCAAGAAGGTCAGCCAGCGGAGCTCCTATGCCGCTATGGCACCGGCGTAGATCCCAGCCTCACAGCTGGATTGGGCAACAGACGAGGAGCGAGTAGATCTCCACAAAACAGCACCTGAACCAAGGCTAAAACAGTAGCCCTGGGACGACCTGAGGGTCTCAGCGTCGTCTGCCCAAGAAGCGTATGTGTGCCCAGCAAGGACCACTAGTCTGTGTCCTCCAAGCACCAGCCCCATGCCCGATGTACTCACAAGATAACGCAAAACCCTCTTAGCGGCCGACCAGTGCCGTGGACGGTGTCTGCCTGTGGCCACAAAGAGAGCCATGATGCTGAGAGGGTATGCGAGATCTGGGCAAGTGCAGGTAATCAGGTATATGAGGCAACCCACCATCTCTGCGTAAGGACCACTAGGCTCTACTGACTCCTCAGGAACAGGAGCTGAGAGCCTGTGGTCTACTGGTAGAGGTGTGGGCTGTGCGGAGGAGAACTGAAGGCCGAACCGCTGAAGAACCTGGCGCACCAAGTGTGACTGTGAAAGAGTGATGGTGCGCGCTGCTCTGTCCCTGGAGATCTGCAGGCCAAGGTAGTGCCGCAGTTCTCCTAGGTCAGTGCAGGTGTGTCTCTTCAGCAGCTCTGCCTTCACGAGGCCAGCGCATCCCTGTCTGCAGTAGCAAAGACCAGGTCATCTACGTAGACAAGGATGTAGAACGAGGTATGGTCAGCACGAACGAAGAGCGAAGGGTCAGCAGAGGACGGGAAGAATGTAGGTCTGCTAGCGTGGCGCGCAGCATGTCGTACCACTCACGGGGCGCCTGTCGCAAGCCGTAGACTGGACGCTGCGGGAGCCACTGGGTCCCAAGAGGGAAGGTACCAGTAAAGCCTTGAGGGCGGCGCAGGTAGACCTGCTCATGTAGGCTGCCCTGAAGAAACGCTGTGGATAAGTCAAGGGAGTGTAGCTCGAAGTCGCGCTGAGCTGCTACGTGCAGTAGCACCCGAAGAGTAGTCATCTTCGGGGTCGGTGCGAAGGTGTGGAAGAAGTCCACCCCCTCTCGCTGACTGAAGCCTCTAGCCACGTAGCGGGCTTTGAACATAGGCGGCTCTCCAGGGGGGCGCTTCGCCTTGAAGAGCCAGCGGCCATCGACTACGTTCACCCAAGGCGGGGGAACTTTGTCGACGTAGGTGCCGGTGGACCTCCAAGAAGCTATCTCCTGCTCCATGGCAGCTATCGACTGAGATGCCCAGGGTCCCGACGTGGCCTCAGCGTAGGTGCAAGGGGTCGAGATGTCGAAAGCGTCTGGGTCACCCTCAAGAACTAGTAGCATGGAGCAGAGATGGGGAGCAGCCTCGGACATGAAAGCAAGCTCGCACTATCGGTCCTCCAAGACGTCAATGCCAAGGGCAGGAGCACCCCCGACAGACGGACGACAGGCAGGGTCAGAGACCTGAGCGGTGGCGTAGTCAAGGCGGCGGGTAGAGGCGAAGTCAGCGACAGCAGCGACAAGAGTGTCAAGAGACGAAACAGGAACAGACGGGTCGGTAACGAGAGAGGCAAGGACCCGAGAATCAAGA